AGCAGGGCGGCCGGGGCTGGCTTCGTAGCGCGATCCGCGCCGCTTCGGCCCCGGCCGTGCCCCGAGGCAGCTCCGTCCGTCCGTCCGTCTGGGCCATGGCGGCGCTGGGCATCGCGGCGCTGCGGAGGGGCGGCGGTGCGGCTCCCCGGCTCCTCGCCGTCGCCGTGTCGTGCCAAGGCTGCCGCCCCAGGAGCGGCCCCGGCCCCGCGGACGGCGGCCACGGCCAGCCCCGGGAGCCGCTGCCCGGCGGCAGAGCGCGGCGCGGCGCCGAGCCCGGCCCCGCAGCGGGCGGCCAGCCAGCCCCGTCCGATGGTGCCGACACCCGGAGCTACCTGTGGGCCAGGTACCACGAGATGAAGAAGCTGGTCTATGGTAAGGACCGGCCCTGCTCGCAGCCTTTGTCCGCGCTCTGCCCCGCCGCAGCGTGGCTCCGTGGCGGCGGGAACGTGGCCCTGCGCTCCGTCCGCCCCCTCCCGCCGCGGGGTCTGTCGCTCTGTCCCGGCCGGGAGGAAAGCCGTTCGTTTTGCCCCATGTGCCCGTGTGCACAACGGGACCGTGGGCTTTGGGGCTGCGGCGGGTGGATCTCAGCTGCGTTAAGATCCGTAATAACGTGAAACAATAACTTGTGCGCCGTAAGGGCAGGGAACTTTTTTCCTGCAGGTTTTTCGGCTCCTGGAGTTCCGAAGGGAAGCAGCGTGGACAGCTAGGAAGCGTCCCTTTGCCGTTAAATAGCTCTCTGTTCGCTTTCCTTCTCCAGCCCTTAGATAAACAAAAGCAGTCGGAGGGTCTGGAAGAGCCGTTTTGCGGTTCTGAGATGGACAGCTTCTGTCACTGCCGCCTCCCCCGGCTCTGGCATAAAGCGTGAAGCCCTCGGTGAGCCTGGGAAGAGGAGTTGGCCGCAGGGTGTGCGCTCCTGGTCCCAGTACAGCGTTCCCTCCAGAGCTGGATGCGAAATGGGGATGGATGAGGGTTGGAGAGGAGGCACAATTGGCCCACCTTGGTTTTTGTTGGTGGTGGGACAACGGGACTGATTTGGGCCTTTGTTTTCTGTAAGAGTGGTGTTAAAGCAAACGGCTGTGGCTGTGCCATGGGCATCACCCATAAGGAATACATCCTCTGCTTCATGTGCTGCCTTCTCCCCTCTGCCCAAGGACAGGCACAGGTGTGTGTCAGAGGGGCTGTGCTGAGCGGGGCTGTCAGTGTTTGTGTATCTGAGGTGTGGAGGAAGGCTGATAAGGCACTGTTCCTAATGAGTCTCCAGAATCCTGCAGTCTAGGAAATGCACAATCCTGAAACACAGCGGATCTGGAAAACAGGTGAAGATTTGGCTGTAAGGAAATGTGGATGTTCAATGTTTGCTCCCTAGAGCACGTTGCTACAATAGATACTTCTGGGGGAACTTTTGGAAGAACTTCCAACTTCTTACCTCTGCGTGATGAGTGTGGCTCGGAGAGAGAAGCACTGAGTTGGGTGGTCACACAGTTCTCTTCACCCACAGTTCTCCCTTTGCTCACACTTCCCGGGTGCAGTGCTGAGTTAGCACTGCTGCCTCCTTCCTGATGAGCGCTTGGACAGAGAAGTTTGGATCGTAGCTCAGTTTTGACAGCTAATGCTAGTTTTTTGTTTTGTTTTGTTTTTTCTTGCTGTAACTTACTCAACCTGCCCAGCAACCCCTCTTTGCAGAGCAAAAAGCAAAAGCTGCTGTTCTTGTTGAAGAGGCATCCGCACTGGGCTCTGCTCGGCTGGTAGGAGCAGCGGTGCAGCAGCAGCGCTGTGGATGCAGTCTCTGCAGGATGCTGCACGTCGGTGTTGATGCTGTGCCAGCCATGCAGCAGCAGCAGCTCTTCTTTCTCTCAGGGACTTGGAGACTGCCATGAGTTCGAGGCAGCGGGTGGCAGTGGGGATGGGAGGCCATGGGTTTGTGTTGGTCGCAGCGGTGACAGAAAGCACAGCAAGGAGGGGAGCGTCTGTAAGGAACGTGCCGCTTGTGAGGCAATGATGAGAAAGCATTTTGGCTGGCATACACATCTTCCTTTGGCCTTTAGGAGGCCGGAGGGAACGCGCTGTGTAAGCTGGGGACAAAATGTCTGAGAGGAGGAGAGCTGCGTGGGGGAATGGGCAGCCATGCAGCACTGCCCCTGCTCTCAGTGTGGCGTGGCACAGCCACTGCGCTGCTTCTGACCTGCCTTCATCCCCTTGCCTTACAAAATCACACCAGGTCCTGTGCCTTTTATTGGCTGCATTTTTGCAGCTGGCTTTATTTATTTATTTTTAAATCTAAGCGAGCCTCACTTCTCCTATAAAAGGAGCATCGTGCTGCTCGGACTGTCAGAACGTGTTGTCCCAAACATCCTGAACGGTGAGTGTTGGTCTCTGTAGGGATATGGCAGCTGCAGCGGGGTGCGTTGGTTGTTACAATTCTCCTCCCTTTAGGAGAGGAAAGCAGGTCTGTGCTGCTTCTTTAGGTTAACACCTGCAAATGGGGACATCCACTGAAAACACCCTTTGTAAATTCTCTAATTGTTCCAGGCAAAGTCTTAACTGAGAATGGCTGATGGCACTCTGATAATAGATTCAGATGAGATAGCGAGAAAGTCTTAAGGAACCAACATGGGTTCTTGCTAAAAGCCATAAGATAAGGTAGGAAGGGGAAAAAAGCGCTGCCTGCTGATGCTGGGTGGGATCAGGAAAACATCGGTGCTTTTGCCATCTTTCCAAGAGAACATTACCTGTCCTCGTGTGGGGGGAAATGTCTCCTTCCTCTCCGTTCCTCGGTGTGGATGTGATGAGGGATCCTGCTGTAGGGAGCAAGTCCTACTGCTCTTTCTTATCTTGCAAAGAGCAGCTCTCATGGAGTGGGAAGCATGGGCAGGGCCTGCTCCTGGCTCTGCTGGGCTCTCACAAGCAGCAGCCCTGTTCTGGAGTGACAAACTGCAGCAGCTGACCTGTTCCCACAGCTGTTTATCAGCAGAGCGCAGATTACTTCTTGCTATCTGCGTTACGCGCTCCCAGAGCGTGGGGTGTTTGGTGTTTGTTTTGTTTTAGGCTGTTTGTTTGTTTGTTGTTTATATAAATGTGTGTCTATACGTGCATAGTTGGTGCTCGTACACAGCTGTGTTCCGTTCTGCTCCTAAAAAAGGAAATAAAGATGCCTGAGGGTGTCTGAAAGGCTGCTCTGTGGGGGCTGCCTGCATCTGTGGGGAACAAATGCCCACAGGTCATTGGGGTGATGCAGGCGCTCTGAGGAGGGGAGCTCTCCTGCTCGCCTTGCTCAGGAAGGGAGGGCTGTGTGCTTCCCTGCTGTGCTCTGCAGCCCTGCCGGTCGGTGAGCTGTGCTGGGCTGCACATCTGCTGCTTCAGACCAGCAGGCCTGCTTTGCTCTGTGTAGGCTGGCAGAAGACTTGAAATGGTGGTGGTCCTCTCGGTTTCTGTAATCTCTGCCCCCTTCTCTTCTCTCTCAGATCTCCTTCCACCAGGAGTCTGCAATCTCCTCAACCCAGCAGCTATCTATGCCAACAACGAGATCAGCCTGGGAGATGTTGAGATATATGGCTTTGACTATGACTACACGTTAGCACAGTATTCTAACTTACTGCACTCCATGATTTTCAACACTGCCAGAGACATCCTCATAGAACAGTTCAAGGTAACGGTGCACTAAGGATTTCCCTTCAATTAATCATACTGATCTTTGCAGTGCCTCAGATGTGCTTGTCAAATGCAGCACTGTGCACATGTGGCACTGTTGTTTTTTTTTGTTTTTTTTTTGTTTTAATTATTAACATAAATTTCACATTTCAGTCTTTGATTGCAGAACATTTTGTCTGTATCTGGAATTAATTTCCTGTTGAACAATTTACCAAGCTCTACATTCCTGAGGTTTTGTAAATACGGACTGGGAACTTCAGTCTGGAAATAAAATGCTGTCTTTTTCCTGACTGTGGAAGTCATGCCTGCGGACTTCCAGCTTTGTGATACACATCGTGGATAAGCACTGGGCCAGCAGTGAAGGGGTGCAGGACGTGGCAGTGCAGATCAATGCGGGTGGATGCCTGGTAATGGGCCCCCTGTTTGCTCTGTGCGTTTTCTTCCAGTCGTGTCTTCCTTTTTAGAGGGACCCTGCAGTGCCACTGCTCTGCCAGATGTGAGCACTGAATGGAGCTTACTGGGAGTCCACGCTGCCTGAACGGATCGGTTGGGGTTTTGTCAGTATCCCTTAAACGAGAGCAGCAATCTGGGGGCTCCATTCATCTGCTTTTCTTTATTGAAGGGCAAAACAAAGTGCACGTGTCCCTCAGTTGGTTTATGCCTGGGGTGAGAGGACTGGTAGGCCTAAGCCAGCTCAGCAGGTGAAATGCTTTTGTTGATAATCAATGCCTGTGTCTCTTAAAATATTGCTGTCTGTTTTCCTAGTATCCGGAAGGGCTTGGGAAGTATGACTACATTCCAGGGTTTGCCATACGTGGACTTCACTATGATGTACAAAAGGTAAAGCTGTACAAAGTTCAACCTCCTGGGCTTTGTCTTTCATTGTGTTGTATTTTGAGTGGAAATACTTTCTGCCAATGCTTGCAGTAACATCGATCAGCAGACTATCAGTGAAATGCACAGTCCAGGTGGCTTCCATTGCATAGATTCTTCTTGTTTACAAATTGCAGGGCTGAGATGTCCTTTGTGTTTGCGTAGCCTGCAGCAGAATGGGCCAGGCTAGCAAAAGGTCTTTGGT